AAAGAGGGAGAACTTGGTTAACAGATACAAGAGGGCATGTAAACAAGTTGAAAGAGACATATTAATAGAATATAGCATAGTAAAGAACATTAGTAACAATTTATATTTATCTTCAAGTTATCAGCAGAGTGTGGAACACAGAATAATATAAATATTGTAGATGGCAGGTATGTTTATTTCCTTGACTTAATTATGACACATTGCATATAGGCTTTAAAAAACCACACTGTACCCCATGAAGAGGTATAACAATAGTATGTAAATTAGAAATTATATGAAAATAATCATAAACAAACAAAATCCAAAACGAACAAGGAAAAACCCTGCAGCCTCTTCATACCAGGTTATTGTTGGATATTGCAAACTGGGAGAAAACATAATCAATTAATGGCCATCCTTCTCGAGCTTCAATGTAGCTCTTTTCACACATGGTTTGGATGAGGAGAAGGGTGGAATTCCTTACCTAGAGTAAGAACAATGCAATTACAACATTTTACTATGTTTTTTAGAATGGAAATTTACCTTCTATCCTAGAATCTTCATGGATCATTTAGTGAGAACCTTCTCAAAAGAAGTACAAATTGAATAATGTTACTATAAATAGATAGGACAAGAAATGAATGTGTAAGCTGTAATTTTTTTTTCTTTTAATTTTCTCTAGAGGGCATGTGTATTTGTAAGAGAGAGACGGAGAGAATGAGGGAATGTGAGAAAACACCTCTCCCCTCCAATGAGACATGATAATGCTTTAATCCCTTCTCCTCCATTTCTTCCTCCTTTTGGGATTTTGGACATGCAAGTACATGCTCCCAGCATGTTTCTCTCAAGCTGCTGGGTCCTGGAATCAAATTGTGTGGTCAGCCATTCTGGATCCAGCTCACTTAACTACCAAGCCATAGGCCAGTCCTGTAAGTCATAATTTAAGAGTCATCGCAAATGCTTGTTTTAACTAAAATCTTTCTTTTAAACTCCCAAAGACACATATTTACAATGAGTATCTTTTATTAAATGCAGATAATTTGGGGCTAAAATACTGTCTTACTTTTACAATATTCAATGAAAAATATCACATTGAACTAAAGGTACACAATCGCTTATTCACAATTTCAAAATCTGAATGACTCTGAAACTGGAATTTTATTCCTCGAATTTGGTGCCAATTCATTTTGTGATAAAATCAAACTAAACTGTTCTAAAGTGATATGTAGTCTACTTAGTCTATAGTATATAGATATATAGGTTTTGTGCAGAAATATTACTGGATTTTGATTGAGGGTTACTATCACAGTAATGTTTTTATAAAATTTGAAAGATTGTTAGTTCTGAAGTATATCTGGCCCTAGGTATTGTAGTGAAGGATTATGGAGTTGTACTATAATATTTTTAATAATTTGATTCCCTGGAGAAGAAAGCTAAGTTCCATTCTTTTAGTGAATGGATCTTTTAATGAAGGATGCAAAGAAAAGAATAATTTGAATAGGAAGGCAGAGCTATATGGTGGCCAAGGAGTTAGCGTAAAGGCACAGAGTAGTCTACCTAAAAGGGGCAAAAGAGGAGCACCTTTTTATTTTTGCCTGGTAAGCTGTTTTTTGTTTTGTTTTGTTTTGGTATCTGTTACTCTACCCTAAGATCTTCTCATAATTCTTCTATTGTAACTAGGTTTATATATAATCACCCCATTGTTTATAGTCACTAGTGACCAAAGCTTCTTAGAGAAATTTTCTCTGCTCTGGCTGTTATATAAGGTTTTGTTATAGAAAAGTAAACAAACAAAAGGAAGATTTTTTTTTTTTGAGAGGTTTTTGCTATAGGACACGTGCGCTCACCAGACAGACAGAGAGAGACAGAGAGACAGAAAGCGAGAAATTACCCCCCAGGGGGGATGGCCACACTGCAATCCCTTCTCCTTCAGTCTTCCATTCTTTTAGTGAATGGATCTTTTAATGAAGGATGCAAAGAAAAGAATAATTTGAATAGGAAGGCAGAGCTATATGGTGGCCAAGGAGTTAGCGTAAAGGCACAGAGTAGTCTACCTAAAAGGGGCAAAAGAGGAGCACCTTTTTATTTTTGCCTGGTAAGCTGTTTTTTGTTTTGTTTTGTTTTGGTATCTGTTACTCTACCCTAAGATCTTCTCATAATTCTTCTATTGTAACTAGGTTTATATATAATCACCCCATTGTTTATAGTCACTAGTGACCAAAGCTTCTTAGAGAAATTTTCTCTGCTCTGGCTGTTATATAAGGTTTTGTTATAGAAAAGTAAACAAACAAAAGGAAGATTTTTTTTTTTTGAGAGGTTTTTGCTATAGGACACGTGCGCTCACCAGACAGACAGAGAGAGACAGAGAGACAGAAAGCGAGAAATTACCCCCCAGGGGGGATGGCCACACTGCAATCCCTTCTCCTCCAGTCTCCTCTTGAGATCTTGGGCACGCACGCACACACGCCCGACGTGAGTTTAAGCCACCTGGTCTGGGACTCGAACCGCGGTCGACTACATGGGAGTCCAGAGACATAGCCATTACGCTAACTGCTAGTCCCAAAAGGAAGATATTTTTATATGGAAACTATAATCACTGCTAATTGTTCTTGATTTTTCTCAGCACAAGTTCTATATCTTCTGGTATGGAGTACTTTAATCAAATAATCAGGAAATAGTGAACAATTAACTGTATACTGAATTTATTCTGGTGGTCCCTGGCTGGAAAACAGGATTATCTATGCTAAAAGAAAGGTTTGGGATTTCTCTTTTGAAGAAAGAGGCATTATCTTTGTAATTAACAAATTTAAATCATCTGAAGGGCACTAGTATATTGATCCTACGAGCAAAATTTTTTCTTCCACTGAGAAGCCCTTGAACTATATATACTTTAGGACTCTACCATGATGTAGTTCATCTTTGTGGGAAAGATAGAGTCCTTTTAAAAATGGAATTGATTAGTGAGTTCTTTTTTTTTTTTTTTTGAGAGGTTTTTGCTTATAGGTGCGTGCGCTCACCAGAAAGACAGAGAGAGACAGAGAGACAGAAAGTGAGAAATAACCCCCCAGGGAGGATGGCCACCCTGCAATTCCTTCTCCATTCTCCTCTTGCGATCTTGGGCACGCACGCGCATGCATCGGTGTGATTTTAAGCCGCCGGGTCTGGGACTCAAATTGCGGTCGACCATGTGGGAGTCCAGTGACACAGCCATTACACCGATTGCTGGTCCCGCTTAGTGAGTTCTTCTTAAAGCAATCTCGTAAGTAGATCTTTTAAAGAGTCAAAATAGTTTTATTCATTTCTAAAATTACTATCAACCAAATAAAAGGCCCTAATAATTCTCTTACTTTTATGCTGAGGTCACCCATGACGACTTTGACTGTCCTTTCAATGGAAGTTATGTAATCTCTCAACTTGGGTTCTGAAAAACAGAGAGAGAAATTGAGAAGCCCAACTTGGTATGAGTACAGTATATTAGAGGATTGATCCAATCTCCTTGAATTATGGCACAGAATTGTCTTTTTTCTTTAAAGCATTGTGCTGTTGAACTCCCTCCTACTCTTTTCTCCAACTCCTTAAGGATGTACTTGCTATCTTTGTTTCCTATTACATTATTTCATCTTTTTTAAAATGTTAAGTTTCATAGTGGATTCAATACCTTATGCCCAATGCATAAGTTCTAAATACTGTGAGACTGCTTTTGATTTCTTATCTTCTGATCCTTCAGTAAATAATTTACAGTGTTAACTAAAATTTTAAAAACCAGATCATGACCTGTGAAAAAGAATTTTCATATTTTATTAAATTCAAGATGTCATCAATTTTATGATGCACTATGATCTTATATTGCACTAAAAAAGAAAAAATGGGGGACCAGCAGATAGTGTAAAGGTTATGTAGCTGGACTTCTACATGGCCAACCACAGTTAAGTCCCAGACTTGAAGGCTTGAAACTCACGCTGGGCATGTGGGGTGAGGGTGCCCAAAACCCTGAGAGGAGAAGGGATTGTGGTGTGGCCATCCCCTCTGGGAGGTGATTTCTCACTTTCTATCTCTCTGTCTCTCTTTGGCTCTCTGGCGAGTTCACACGCCCAATAGCAAAAATCTCTCAAAGATAAAAGAAAGAAAAAAAACTAATTAATTATAATTAAAGATGTAACCAAATGTAAGTTATAATTAGTACTCTGAAAATATGTGTATCTTCGATAAAATATGGTAAGACATTTAATTCTGTTCTCTTCTAAATGTACCAATCTCTACAAAACTGTACTTTTTTCCATCCACCTAGTTCATAAGGTTACTTAACCAACCTACTAAATAGTCTAAATTTTGTTATCAAAAAGGCTGCTCATCTTTCTCAACTGGGTGCATCTATAAGCACCATGAAAGAAAAGAGGTAAATGAAAATGTCTATTTTAAAGGAATAGATTGTAAAAGACTGAGAAGACAGGGTTTCACTTGCATTTGCTGTTATATAAATATCATGAAGACATATGACAGGATTTGGGACTATATAGACTTCAGTTTATTCTTTGGTATGAATCATCCTTATGCCAATATTTTGCCATCTTTCTTATTGCTTACCCTCAGCACTGATAACCGATCTTAACAAAGTCAAGATTCCCACTCGGATGGCTTCATTATTACTTCTCACTTGATCATCAAAAAATTCCATCAGGTCAGCAGGGTTCGAATGGGCTACAGGTTTAAGAAATATTAGGGTTATAAGACGTTATTTTCACCTTAGGTTAAATATATGTGACGAGAAAAGAAGGACTTTATTATGATTGTCAAAGTCACTCTTCAGTGGGTAATATGATTGTGCTTCTGCAATATCAGTGAAGCAATTTGGTCTCTAAGAGAGCTTTTATAACCAGGCTCGCTTCTGTTCATACCTGTGAATGTGGCCTTATTTTGAAATTGGGGGTTTTGCAGGTGGAAACAAGTTAAGACAGGGTCATTAGAGTGGGTCTCAACTTAGGTATGACTGGTGTCCTTACAAGAAGGGAGAAGAGACAGAGGCACAACAAGAACACCATGTGAAGACAGAGGCCGACATTGCTGTGATGGATGATGCTTCACCAGCTCTGAAGCTAGTGAGCTGCGGGGAAATTCTTGGATGAAAGAGAACAGTGTGTTTTGGAAGTTGTCTGAGTTATAGTGGATTAGATCATTAGGCTGGAAGTGAGGAGAAAAGGAGAGTATGGAAACAGAGGGGATGGTCAGGAGACAAATGAAATGTAATAGAAGCATATGCAATGAGGTAGGAGAAACTGCCACACACGGGGGACGATAGACACATGAGAAGTAATCGATTGGTGCCATCCCTCATCCTCAGGACCATGCTGGACAATAAACTGTATCCTGACCCTGGACCTTAGTACTGCCTGTGTAACCTGTTACAGATATTCTAGCCAGGTGATGGATGGCATTATGACGTAGGGACAAGAAGAAAAGGGAGAGCATGAAGGAGAAAGAGAGAAATATGAAAGAGTCTTAATTATTAACAAATGACTAGGGAGGTAAAAAAAGTAACTGAACTTGTAACAATTTTAAATGATCTTAAGTACCAAGAAAAAGGCAGTTTTCGACCTTTAGAATTATCAACTCATCCTGGTTTTCCTGAGACTTTTTTGGTTTTGCTACTAAAAATTCTCTCTATAGAATCTTCCTTTTTCTGTTCTGTCCCAGACATACTGGATGATTGATCTCTTTACCTCTTCCACTCTTCCTGGGAACTTGTGGGAAGAGGGAGAGGCTGAGAGTATTGTGAGCTGAAGGAACACTTTGCATCTACATGTGTGGAAGTAACTAATGTGACAATATGCACACCCTTTACCAATGTCCTCATCATCACTTGGAGACATTTTTATTAAAACCCTGTTTGCTGGGAACTACCTAGAATGAGGAAACAGTTTGAAGCTTCGATTTCATTCTCCTTCACTGGAGGCTCTGGAACGCTGCAGATCTGAATGGGAAGGGAGTCAGGTGGAAGATGTTAGAAACAGGAAGCCAGTTAAAAATAAACAATCAGAATTGACGGCATGGTTTTCTTACCTGGTGGAGTAAATTGATAAAGATGGATTTTCTCAAACCCCGTGGAAGGCCAATGTCATAAAGGACTGCTGCAGTCAGGATTTGTTTTAGGCTCTGAAATGGAAGCTCTTTCAGGTTAGTTAGATGCTGCCAATAAAGCAGTGGCACAGGATGTGGAAGGTGAGTAGCTATGTTTTGTGAGAACCCATAACTTTCCTGCAGTTACAAGTTTTCTTAATGATTCTGGCTTCTTGACCTTGTTCAGTGCCTCAGCAACTTGGAATGAAAAATTTTAATCTCTTCTTGGAGTTTTCATCACACAGCTGTGCCTACCTCTTTTCTATCTTGTATTTCCCAAGAGGTATTTACATTCATCTGCCCAAACAGGGATTTCAGTTCCTTAGACCTGCTAGAGCCTTAATATTCTCCAGAATGGTTGCAAAGTGACCCTCTAATTCAGTTCCTTTAAAGTTACTCTTGGGACCAGCAGATGACATAATGCTTATGTCACTGGACTCTCACAGTTGACCATGGTTTGAGTCCTGAACCCAGTGGCTTAAAACTCACACCGGCACAGATAATAGTCCCCAAAATAGACAAATGGGACTATATTAGGCTGAGAAGCTTCTGTAGAGCAAATGAAACAATAAGTAGATTGAGAAGACAACCCTAAGAGTGGGAGAACATATTTTCAAACTCTACCTCACATAAGGGACTGATACCTAGAATATACAGGGAACTCAAGCAGCTTACACACACACACACACACACACACACACAAATAATCTATCCAATTAAAAGATGGGAAAATGAACTGAACAGACAATTCTCTGAGGAAGACAAACAAATGGTCCAAAAGCATATGAAAATGTGCTTGACACCTCTTATCATAGGGGAAATGCAAATCAAAACCATAATGAGATAGCGCTTAACCCCAGTCAGCATGACTAAAATTTAAAAAATAATAATAATGGTAAGTGCTGGTAAGGCTGTGGTGAAAAGGAAACTCTCCTACACTATTGGTGGGAATGCAAACTAGTACAACCATTTTGGAGAACAATATAGAGAGTTTTCAGAAACTGACAAAGAGAACTACTATACAACCCAGTAATTCCACCCTTAGGTATTTACCTAAAAGATAGAAAAACCCTCAGTCAGAAAAACACTTGCACATCCATGCTTATTACAGCATTATGTACAATTGCTAGGATATGGAATCAACCCAAATGTCCAAAATCAGATGACTGGATTGAAAAAATGTGGCATATGTACTCTATGGAATACTACTCAGCCATAAAAAAGAATGAGACCCTGACATCTGATACAAAGTGGATGAATATGGAAGACTAAATGCTAAGCAAAGCAAGCCAGATTATAAAAGACAGACTTGTATGTCCTCACACAATATATACTGATTGTCTGCACTATATAGCAGAACCTGAAAGTGTGGAAGGTATAGCAGTAGGAAGGGCAATGGTAGATTCTAGAGAAGGTAAGGATAAGGGTATTATGGAGATACGTAATAGAAGGAGGGAGCGGAACAGGGGAAAGGGAAAAAAAAAGTATGTTTAATTGACAAGAAAGTGGAAAGCTATTTGCTGATGATAATGTATATAAATGTCTTTATCTTGACCAATATGCATGGTATTGATGCTGGAAAAAGCAATGTTGTACACTGTAAATATAAATTTGATTAAATGCAAACAAACAAACTCATGCTGGGTATGTGTGGATGTGTACCCAAAACCCTGAGGAGAATGGAAGAGAAGGGATTGTGGTGTGGCTATCCCCCCAGGGGGGTGATTTCTTGTTTTCTGTCTCACATGGCAAGCACACATGCTCTATAGCAAAAATCTCTCTTAAAAAATAAAAGCGTGGCTCTTACCTGAGTGATGTGGAAATCAATCTCTTTGTCTTTATACTGGTTCAGGAGCCAGGGTACCTGACCCAAGGCATATTCACAGAAGTCTTCCCGAAGTAGTAGCAAGCTCACTGTGGGGCCATGGGCCTTAACAATGGCCAAAGTCTGCAGAGGCAACAAACAAATACCAAACAAATAATACTTTCTTATGCTTTTTATACATGAGTCAGAACACTGGGAACTTTAAGTACCCTCTTCTGCAACTTTCCTCACTGTTTTCAGCCAAGAGAGATTATTTTTTAAAGAAAATTTCAAGAATTACTTATTTAATTTTAGTTATTAATTCATTAATTTTAATTTTACCAGAGAGAGACACAAAGAGAGAGGAAGAGGGAAAGTGAGAAAGCAAGCCACCAGGTCTGGGACTCAAACTTGGTCAGCCATGTGGGAGTGTCCAGCACCTTACAGTTGCCTTACATTCCCATTCTTTTCTCTTACTCCTACCATGTTTACTTAAGTGTGCAAGTTATCTGGTCTCAAACCTACGCTTCAGTAGGTTTTATTCTCTCTTCAGGGAATGCACATTCCCTGAGTGGACAACCTCACAGTCTGCAAGGCCTAGGTTCAACATTGTTTGCTTGGTGTGCTCACCAGGAGAGCTGTTTCCCTCTTTGCACTCTCTTATCACTTTTTTTTACCCCCTCTGCCCAGCTCTTCCTGTAGGAGGCAATGAGAGCAGCACCAAGTGGATGTATCGAATTTTGTTTTCCAGGTGCTCTGAAGAAAGGACTTCTCTTCTGTGGGATATTTTAAAAGTCCTGTGTTTGCTAATGATTTAACTATTCCAGGGAAAAAGAAAAAAAGGAAAAAAGCTTTAATAGCTTAAAATGTAGAAAAGAAACAGAACTAGGGGAGGGGGCTGTTAAACTTTTTAAAATAAAGCAAGAAGAGCCCCAAATAGGATATAATTAGTCAACTTTTTGAAAAAAATTACAGCATTTAGGCAAGATAAGAATGAGATTATATATGTGAATGCACTTTGTTATCTATTCCTGATAAGGTGTAAGCATTTTGGAGTGGTCAAGTGCATTCTTTAGATGTTATTTTTTTTTAAATTGTGGTATTCAAAAACAGGAAATTTGGGTGGACTATTGTTTTCTCTAAATTAGTGTCTCAGTTTAAATATGAATTTGATATATAGCATGTGAACCAGCTAATATTCTATGTATTTTACTCATTTGTCTTGTTAACGTCCCCTGCACACATTGGATGGTCAGTTTCATGAGTGTGAAAATTTCAGTCTGTTCAATCTCTGCTATGTCCTCAGCATCTGAAATAGTGTTTGGAATGCCATAGGGGAGTCACTAAATATTAGTCAAAAGAATGAGTAAATAGTGAATTGAAACAGATGAGGAAAAAAAAAAAGATCCAACACAACTTATAAAACACAGCCAATAACTTCCAAAAGACCTGACTTAATTACCATATTATAAAATTAAATGGAATTTCAATCATCGTAAAAGGAGATCTGACCCGACTCACACGTGTGCGTGGGGCCCCTGGGACCCATTTTTCCATTATGTACTGGAACAGCATGAAGACTTTGTCAGAGAGTCGGTTGGCATCCAGTCTGGGGTAGGGAAAATCTCTCCAGTGGTTAACGTACTTGTAAATGGCCTTGCTGAACTTCTCAAGGGCTGCATTTAAAAACACAACCATAGACTGAGAAAAAGATGAGAAAAACCATGCAGTAATTTAAGAAGAGGATACTGGTGATTAGAAAAATGTGTTTCTACATAGTCTTATGACTATACCAACAAAAAACATTAACAACTGTTTAGCCATGTTAGTGAAATGTGGAAGACAACCATAATGAGATATCACTACGCCATCTAGAATGGCTAATATGTAAGGCAGTCAGTGTCATGAGTTGACATGACTGGGGAGCAGCTGAAATTCCCATAGACTGCTGGTGGGGATGTGAATCAGTGCAAACACGTAGGGAAAATTTTGGCACTGTCCACCAGAGGTGAGTATGCATCCCATGTGACCCAGAAATTCCAGGTTAAGGTATATAGTCCATAAAGAGGTATACATAGAAGTACCAAAAAACTTGTACAAAAATGTTTGTCTTAGCTTTTATCCCCCCAATAACCTTGAACAGAAGATAGTCTACATATCTGCTAGTAGGTAGAAGGAAAAAATAAATTGTAGTATAGTCATTGTAACAGAATACAGAAATAAAAATGGTTTATTGCTACACAGAGCAGCATGTATAGATCCTACAAGTGGGCAAAACTAATGGTATTAAAAATTGAAGCTATAATTATCCTTGAGAGGAAACAGGAAGGAGGTTGCTGGATGGTAGTAATATTCTAATTTCTTGACCTGAGTGGTTGCCACGTGGATAACTCATCAACCTGAACACTTCTAATTTGTACGCTTTTCTAGCTCTATGATTTACTTCAATAAAATTTAGAAAAGCATCTCGGGCCTGCAAAAATACCATTTGAACCACTAATCCACATATATTTGCAACAAATAACGCTATTTTTCCTCTGGCCCGCATGCAACCCCTTTTATTAGATGACAAAGAAATTTCATAGTTAATTTCCTCAAGAACAGGTCACAAACAGAATACTTTAGAAAAGACCCTAAGTATATTAATTTTAGAGCTGGCCATTTATTGGCTTATTCACATTCCCTCCACACACATTTTAATTTTTCTGAGAATCTCCTGCTATACTTTATCAAAATCTTTTTCTTGGTGTATGTGTGTGTGTGTGTGAGAGAGAGAGAGAGAGAGAGAGATGATGGCGTTTTGTACTTCATGGTATCTGAAACAGCCAGCACAATATCTGCATATTTGCTGAATGATCGAATGATTAGGTATAGATGGATGGATGAATGGCTATTAGATTTTATATCTTTTGTTTAGGAGAAGCTCACAAACATGTTTTAGAGCCAAAAGAGACTTAGAAAACTTTGTAAGACAAAGGTAGAAAATTGCCATGATGATTTTTCACTTTTACTTTATTTCACATTCTTGACTGTTAATATTGGAGGTAGAAATGCTATTAGAGGCTCCAAAGTGTATATGTGGGAATACTGTATTAGTTGCAATAGTAAGTGGGGGTAGTAAAAAGTATTGAAAAGTGGGTTAATCTGGAATAGTGGCTTAGGTCCTTGAGTCAGACTGTCATAGCTGACAGTCGTGGCTCGGCCATCTGTGGTTAGCTGTGTGACCTCAGATACAGCTAACCTCATCTTGTCTGAGGTTATCTGTGTAACCTTAGACAAGCTGCTTATTAACCCTTCTAAGCCTCAATTTTCTCATCTGCAAAATTGAGGCAAAATGTTAACCACTTAATGGGATAGCTGAGTAGATCTATGAAAGATAATATAAATATACCCAAAGCAGTGTCCAAGCGCTAACTTTTAATCTCTCTCTCTCTCTCTATGTGTGCGTGTGTGATGTGTGTGTGTGTTTATGTATATTTGTGTATATATATATATATACATGCAAATATATATATGTATATATAATATATATGTATATATAAGATAAAAATATTGCTTCATCGAGGACAGAACAAGAGGAAATGGGCAAAATGAAATAGATAAAAAAGCTTAGTAGATATATAAAAAAGATGTTTCTGACCGCATGGGCTTTTAAAATATATAAAAAAAAAATAGAAGCTTTGGGGTGTATTAGAAGTAAAAGGGATCATAGCAATCACTTCTGATGTTTTTAGAGGTCAAATAGATTGAGAGAAGGACAGGATCATCTGGTGGCTCAGGCTGAGCAGAGAAGAGTTAAGGTCTCCAGATTCATCCAAAGAAACCCTGGCTGCCCTGCAGATACTTTTCTCTAGAATTCCAGGGCATGCTTCTTCTTTGTGGACTCTTGATTACTAAGGAAATATTTTATTTTTAGGTAGAGAGGATTTGTGACCATAATTTGCTTGCCTAGTTTCCTTGATTTCATAATTGCTTGCATTTTGGTTACTTTTCCTGCTGATGATTATTACAACATTGTGTTATAATCAGATGCCAAAATTTCACCTACTGCTAAGAGTTGGTTAGCTTTCAAAATCATTGCAGAGAAAATGAGATCAAATTAAGGAAGGAGGATAGTTAAAATGGATGCCATTTAAGACAGTGAAAAGAGTGTAGACTGGGTGATCTGGATTTGAATGCCACCTTATAAAGTCTCATTCAAGGTGTCCCTACTTTAGAAAACCTGCCTGATTTTCATGATCCTCACTTTCTCTTCTGCAAAATGGGGTTATAGTACTTACCTTGCAAAATTGAGTAAGATACCTCTCTGCAGAAGGCCTTCTAAGTGGCAGGCATTCAATAAATGGTAACTATTATCATTAGAAAGGGCAAAACTGGAGTAAAAGGAAAAATAAGACTTTCACTCAATGTATAAGATAGTTCACAGTCTGGTTAAGCAAAGAGGAAATCAGAGTACCCACCAATACAGAAAGTGTCCTTCATTCTTTCATCCTCAGCCAGCCTGAGCATGGTTTGCATGGTGAGCAGGGTCATCATCATGAAGGGGATGCTCTGGGACACTGCAGGGGAGGATGTGAGAAGAGAAAGCCATCGCTTTCTTTCACTGGGCTTCTGTGACTCCTCATGTCACTAGCTAGCGCTCCAGGGTTGCATGGAAGAGGCAAATGAGGTGTGGTAGGAAGGTATTCTCCTCCATTACCCTACTCCACCTTAATGCCATGCTGTAGTTAGAGAATCAAGAAGTGGTTAGTTTAAGATAAGATACTAGTTGACCAGGTTGCTCAGTTGTAGCATATTGGACTACAATGCTGGAAACCACATGGCCAACTGCTGGTTTGGATCTCAGGCTGAACCTGAAAACATGCTGGATATGAGTGAAAGTGCCTGGGATCCTAGGGAGCTGCAGGGCTAAAGAAAGGGGCTTGTGGTGTGACAAGACCATTTTGAAGGTGCTTTCTCTTTCTCTCTCATGTGCACATGCATACACTATAATAAAAATAATGAAGAATAAGATCAAATACTAGCTGTATAGCCACCTGTACCTGTTGTTTAGTGCTAATTTCCTATCTGGATAACTATTTTGTTACTCTCTCCTACCAGAACTTGCCTGTATCCCCAAAGCCTAGCTCATGTAACAGGTGCTCAATAAATATTTGTTAAATAAAGTAATGTAGAAACAAATGGTAGGAAGCTGTTTCTTTATGTAAGTATTCAATGGTTTGCAGAAGATACTGAATAGAAAGTGTGATTCTGCAAATGCAAAATCATTAGCAAGGTGCAAGGTGAGAATGGTAGACAGGCCAATTGAATCATAGCATTCTGGTCAGGAAGTTCATTTTGTTCATGAATAGTTGCCACAACCCTCTGTCAATATTCTTTAGTATAACAGAAGGTAGAGGTACTTTGCCTTCTGCCATTTTCTCTATTTGGGTTTTAGCCAACTGGTCAGGTGTGGTCATTTCTCAGGGATAGCGTGGGGAGTATCCCTCCTAGTATACCATAGCTGGTTGCCAGTTCAGCCAGTGCAAGCACAATGAATTCATCGGGTAGCTCTAGTATTCTGAAGTTACTTTGCACTTCGTACATCACAGAGTTGAAATCATGCGCAGCGAGAGACACCAAAAGTTCACCAGCTAGCATTCTGATTTCTCTGGGAATCTGAGGAGGAAAAGAAAAATGGCAATAACGACTAGAGGAAAAGAAGAGTGAGTTTACAGAGGAGAAACAGTGTTAGTAATATTTGTAATTTCTCCTAGCTTTGGGACAGAGAGAGTACATGTTACCAGAAAATCATAGTAAAAGATTCTGTGGTATATGTCAATAGATGGGAAAGCAGAGGTAATTTGAATTCAGTAAAAAAAAAAAAAAAAAACCCAAAAACATGTTAGCAGAGGTCTAATGAACATGGGACCAAAAGATGTTTTCTTGAAATTGGTAAGGTTTCATGAACATAGGATTTATGCTTTACATTTAAGTGATGTGAATTACTGCGTTTGAAGGATTAAAAGGAATGGTGAAAGGACATTGGCTGGAAGTTAAAAGCTTTGGTTTTGGTGTTATCCTGGTGTAATTATCTTCCTTGTTGGAGGTATCGCGAGGGACTTCTGCTTTTGGTGATGGTGAGCTAGGTAATTGTGATCAACCCTCCAGCTAAGGAATATAAAAAGATTTAGAGAAAATATTTAAAAAGATACTCAAAAGCATCTATTAATTCATGACATAGAGTAGATGTATTACTTAGTTGAGACTGGGAATCCAGAGAGATAAGGCCTGCATTTGAATGTCTGACCAGTGGTGAGACCCTGAAATTATATATAGGCCAAGAAAATTGGGTTCTGTAGGGTCATCAAAAAAGTCATGATGCATTTTTGCATAGAAAAACATTGAAAAATAAACCATGACTTTTCCAACAACCCAGTAGTTACTTGTTCTGTTAATAGCTAGCTAAATTATTTTGAAAACAAAATCTCTTTAAGATCAACTTTCTCATCTAAAAGAAGGTTGGATAATATTTCCTCCAAAGTCATTTTTAGATTAGCCTCAGTTTTCTTATCTGTGAAGCGGTAAATAACAAGCACTGTAGCTGTATCCATATTATCATGAGGAACAAATAAAAGTGATTCATGGTCCTGGTGGTGATGTAGCAAAAACTTATGGATGTCCTCATGGGTGCAGTTGGGTAACTTAAAGACCCCATTCTTGGCCCTGACATAGGGTCGCCATCAAGAACCAAACTTACATTGTCGTCTCTCATGTCCTTAGAAGCATAATAAATCAACCGTTGGACAATTGCGTCATCCAAGATGTCAGCATTCTGAATAACAGAAGTAAGATGACCGTAAATGTCTTCCTGTGAACATACAAGGATATACATGGAAATTTGGGTTGTGTAAATAAAGGAACTTAATGAAATTCAAATGAATAGCACCATTAAAATAAGCAATGCATCTTTACTACACAACGGATTTTTATGTATGTTAACTGAGGCTTCCTGAACCTCATCTGTATCTTCAGTACTCAAAAGCTTTCCATAAAGCACAGTTAATTCTTTTTTTTGAGAATTATTTTACTTAACTTTATTTATATATTTTAATCTGGCCAGAGTAGGAAAAAACGAGAGGGAAAGTGAGAAAACAAGCCACTAGGTCTGGGACCTGAACTATGGTCAGCCATATGGAAGTCCAGGGCCCTTAACCACCACACCACCTGCCAGGTCTCCCTGCATAGCTAATTCTGAAAACTAAGTATTTTTCACTTGACTACATTTCTTGGGCAAGATCTAACTGAAGGCAAGGGCAGGCTACATAACATATTGAAGTCTCTTGGAAATCACTGTCATAGTGCATTCTGAGGCAGGAAAGGTCTACTTGCTGCTCTTATAAGCGGGAAGTGAGTATGGTACTGAGAAATGCATTGTAATTCCCCAAGATGCAGTTAAGCTATGAAACTGGGATCCAAAGGGATTTATAGGCCCTTGTCTCATTCGTTCCTTTGTGGGCATAATGTTATGAGTCGTTTTGAACAGAACTACAGTCTCCAGAAAACATTTGACCAAGTGCCAAGTGTGAGCTCTTCCAGATCTCTTAGGTGGCTACATGTCCTTTGGAAAATGAAAGAGAGACCTCCATGTACTGCAACCTGTTGCAAAAGTGAAATATCTTCCTCCACAGTACTGTCAGGACTGGTTCCTGAAAAGAAGACAGTTTGTTGTCTTTACTTTCTTCCAGTCAGTCTCTGTGAATTCTTCTCTTGAGCCACATGCTTTCTCTGCTTTCTTTTATCTTCTTTTTTCAACTTGCTAGAGGGTACATGTGTTCATCAGAGAGAGAGAGAGAGAGAGAGGGAGAGGGAGAGAGAGAGAGAGAGAGGAAGAGAGAGAGAGGTTGAGAGAGAGAGAGAAAGTTCCTTCATGGACAATGACTGCAATTCTCTCACCTCCATCTCTCCCTCTTTTCGGGATTTCGAGTATGCATGCACAGGTGCCCAGAGTGTCTCTCCAGGTCTGGGACTTGAATTGTGCAGTTGGCCATATGGGATCCAGCTGCTTTAACCACCAGGCCACAGGCTGGTCCACTTTCTCTGCTTTCTGCAGGTCTTTGTTCTGGCAAGGCTTACCTTTATGGAGTCCCTATCATGTTCCTGGAACTGCAATGGGCCCTTTATTTGAAACAGTAATTTTTTTCTTTTATAGCATTTAATACAGTCTTACACAATTATATAATATTAATCTTTCCCACAAAATTGAAGGTTCCATTAACCAGGGATTGTTCCTCTTGATAGGCCCCCAGTACTTGTATACAGTAGCTTTACAAATCTCTTTCCAGGTCCAGCCTTTTATTCCATACATTTAGCTTATAAGACAGTCTCAAAGGAGTAGGTAAAGAGGCACGTAAAGCTTGTGAGCTTGGCGGTGGAGACCATGGCTGAATGGCCAGAGGTAAAAGAACTTAATGCTCACTATAAGCCTCTGCTAGGAACCACTAATGTTCTCACTTTATAGATGAGGGAACTGGTTCTCAGAGAGCTTCATGCAGCTGGCATTAAGTGGTGATGCTACATTTTGTACCTAACAGTCTAAACCTTAGCTGGCACTTACTCTCTTGGTGGTGAAGCTATTACTGTTCCCTGACTTGACTCTCCATAAACATACTTTGGAACTGCTTGTTAAAAGTGCATATTCTCACATTCCTTCCTTGGAATTTCTTCTTTCAGTATTTCTGGGGTCCAAAGATTATTCCCTAAGTAATACCCAATGTTAAGAAATAGTGTTCTAAGGGAAAGTTAATTCCCACTAAGAAGTTAATGCAATGATTTTCAATCACGCTTAAATGTTAGGATTGTCTCCCTAAGCTTTGAATGTCCAGGCTCATCTCAGTGAAGTTGAAATCTTCCCAAAACTCTCCCAGGGATTCTGATATGCACGCAGAGTTGAGAACCACTGAATTAAGAGATAAAGGTATGAGCACTTATGGGCACTGCCCTTCACAAAGTGGCAACATTGAGTAATGATTAAGAGCATTTTTTTTTTTAATCAGAGGGCTCATATTGGGATATAGTCCTGTAGTTCTTCGTTGGGCAAATCAAATGACTTTTCCATGCTCCATTTTTCCCAGTGGTCAAATAGCAATACTTACCACATTAAGCTGTTGTGAGGAGTGAATATTATACAATGCACTATTGTCTGGAAAACATCTAGCACTCTATAGGTAAGTGTACAATAAAGTGTAGTTATTGTTATTTTACAAAAGCTTGTGGAAGTCTAAACAGTTTTCAGAGAAATTTCTAGTTTGTGAAACAACATCACAAATGATTAGGGGAGACCTTTTGAGATTTTTTTAGGGCTTCTCAAGTTATAAAGGAGAAAGCTCTAATCCATATGGCTGGAAGCCTGATATCTGCCTTTATCTATATCTGCCTGTATACAGTTATGAAAAATAGGACATTCTTTTGCTAGCGTCTAAAAGTGGACATTGGTATTCTCTTAATTTATTTATGACAGAGGACACATATACATGAGAGAGAGAGGCAGTGAGAGAGAGAAGATGGAGAGAAAGAGAGAGAGAGGGAGAGGGAGAAGAAATAAAACATTCTACAATGGATCTGATCATGCCATAATCCCCTTTCCTCCACCATTCCATGCCATCAGGATCCTAGGCATGCAGGGCCTTGAATGTGTTCAAGCCATAGGGTCAAGACTTGGACTCTGGCTGGCCATGTGGGGGGTCCTTCCTTTGCGAAGTGCTATGGGACTGGCCCAGACACAGTGATTCTTGAAGTGCTAAATAGCATTTTAAAAGAATTGAATGACTTGCATTACAACTGCATTTTCTGGAAAAAATGTAATGCATTATAAGAAGCTAGAGAAAAATAACAAAATTGAGACGAAGAATGACGTATATGAAATGTATAAATGACTAGACTAGAAAAGGTAAATGGGAAAGAGATTTTCTTTTTCTTTTTTCTGTTTTCCTTACCTTGTTAATATCATCTTCCTTGTTTAGCATGCCAAGAGTTAGGTTAATATCTCCAAACATGTCTAAAATACACAGAAAAAAAGAATTAAAATATGGATCACAATGGTTTCCTGTTACTTATTTGCACCATTCACAGTAAGTTCATTCATTCTCTTTTGCTTCCTCCACCATTAATTCTGGTGGCAAGAACTGTGTCTTATTCATATTTCATGCACCTGACACACTTAAAAATAGCAGATGCTCAGTAACTTTTTCAAAATCTATTAAATGTGGGGGAGAACATAAAAAATACTGAATTCCTAATTATCCCTCTAGTCAAATGGATATCACCCTACATATCCTTTCTAGCAGAGCTTGGCTCTCGGCTCTAAGAATCAATGAGCTGAATCCTTTACTTTGGAGTAGAGCAATATAAGGTATGGTGCTGTAGAATTGTTTAGTTTCTTCTTTTGTCCTCAACAACATCCCTGTTGTCTTTTTCCACACCTCCTTCCCCTCTGTCCATCCTCTAGTGCCTGTTAGATCTCTCTTTTGATCCCACGCTCATGAGACTTGGTTCTTATAATGCCTAAATGTTTTTGACTTGTGCTGTCTAAGGATATTTTATTTTGAACAAAACACTCTAGAAAATGTAAAAAAATATATTTAGAGTCAAGGATTTGAGCAATTTCAGGCCACATGGCACATTGGTAGTAGAGATGCTTTCAGAGATGGAGATTTCTCATGAAATCAACATACATCAAACAACATACCTCTTCAGGACAGTATTTTTGGTAGAGCAGAAAGGCAGCCATAATTGAAAATCTGAGAAAAATATTTTCATAGGACCCTTCTAATACTTAAACAAGAAACTGCCCTTCTTTGATATGTAACTACTTTTTCCTCAGATATTTAAAGAAGTTAAAGCACAATCATCCCTCAGGTTTCCAGTTTATCACTGGTTCTTTTCTTTTTTTTTGGAGAGATCTTCGCTATAGGGCGCGTGCGCTCGCCAGACAGACAGAGAGAGACATAGAGACAGAAAGCAAGAAATCACCCCCCAGGGGGGGATGGTCACGCCACAATCCCTTCTCCTCCATTCTCCTCTCGGGATCTTGGGCACATACGCACACGCGCCCGGCGTGAGTTTTAAGCCACTGGGTCCGGGACATGAACCGCAGTTGACTACGTGGGAGTCCAGCGACATAGCCATTATGCTAACTGCTGGTTCCCTATCACTGGTTCTTTACAATAAGCATGATGATTTATTTTGGAATACAGGGAGAATAAAGAGAAATCATCAGACTTAAGCACATCATTTCATAGAAACTTGAGTTGTATAAACCTCCCACCATGACACATAGCCCTCCCAGCCCCACATATGCATAATAACACAGACATAAAGCACACAGCAGAGTCTCAACTCTTCCAGATCTGGCCATGCGTACCTACAGATTCCTCCATGTTGAGAGTCATGTCTTGGCTATTTCAGGCTTTCTAAGAGATACCTCCTATGTATTAGAAATAGTAGAGCTAAAAAATCAAAGCAGCAGGTTGGCAAGTTTTTCATACAAAGTTCACATAAGGTTCTCTAAATGAAAGTCTCTCTTCCACTTGATTGGCACAGTGATCCGGGAGCTTCCAGCGATGGGTTTGCTGCTGAGGAGGATGATGCTGTATACTACCACTATGACATTTTCTTGCTTCTGAGTTCTTGCTGACCAACAAAATGGCTGCATCTCACCGAGTATTGTCCCTTTGGTGGAGACAGAGCATCTGAGAAGGAAGAAATTAGAAACTGGGATTCAAACCATAGTTGAACAAAGGAGTTCCTCTCCCTAAACTTGAGTCCATTGGTCACAAATTTGGGAATGGCTTTCAGTAGTCACTTGGTGTTGGTAAAGCCTTTATGGTGATCTTGTTGATTGTTCTACTTGGTTAAAATCAATCACACAAAGTGGGCATGCTCAGTGGACCGGAATGCCTGTCAGGGGCAGTTGGATGGAATGTCCAACTGACAGCAGCAAAGCCAAGCCTTCTCTGCCTCCCTCCCCATGACTGCCTCGCTGACTTGGTCAGATTCTTGGCCTTATCCTAGGCTTAGGATTTTTCTTTGATTCTGTTCTCTCTTTCTGTTTCCAAATTATTTTTAAAACCTAAATTTTTCAGCCATAATGCTTTTAATTTGCTAGTGTGGACCTAAATCTGGTCCAACTTTAAAGCTGTATGATCACAATCTCTGAACTCTTTCCAGACTGTATAGTAACTATATGACTGATGGTAGAGAGTGGCAAGAGGGCAGGAGACTACAAGGCTGGACTGGTAATACTTAGCTGCTGCTTCTTCTTTATCTTCATAATGGAACTTATCTTAAATTTGAAGTCCAAGCACTTTCAATTAGACCTTAAAATTCATCATTCTTGTAGGAAGATATTTTGCACTTATTTATTTCAGTAGTCCTCAGCAGCCTGGTGGTTAAGAATGTTTTCAGCTTCCTAAGTCAGCCTTACTTTTGTTCAGTATGATCCACAAGCACCTCATAATAGGATTCACCTGGTATCATTATATTTAAATGCCTATTCTCAGGCCCCCATCTAAGACCTTGTAAATTAGAAATGAGGAGGCAGGAATTTTTCTTTTCTTTTTTTTTTTGAGAGGTTTTTTTCGCTATAGGGCGTGTGCGCTTGCCAGACAGACAGAGAGAGACATAGAGATGGAAAGCGAGAAATCACCCCCAAGAGGGGATGGTCACGCTGCAATCCCCTCTCCTCCATTCTCCTCCTGGGATCTTGGGGATGCACGCACACGCGCCCGGCGTGAGTTTTAAGCCACCGGGTCTGGGACACAAACCACGGTCGACCACGTGGGAGTCCAGCGACATAGCCATTACACTAACTGCTGGTTCCCAGAATTTTTATTTTTAATGAATATTCCTGGTGATTCTTAGGTCCACTATGGTTTTTGAAGCACTGGCCGAGATACTTGCCCAATCTCCCCTCATTGGTAAACAAGTGGAAATTGAACAGATAACTTCAGGGTGTCATTGTGGATGTGCAAGAATAGCAGCTGTTTTTCTCTGGCCCCATGACTCATTCACCCACTGAAGAATAGGCTAAGAATCAGTGAGTAAGGGAGACCTTAGGGTGATTAGAGGCAACCTAAAACCCTCAATGCCTTATAGGGGGGAAAAATATGAAAAATTATGTGCTCCTTGAATCTTAACAACATGTAATAGAATCACTTTAAAAAAAAAAAACTAGCCATTTAGGTCATCGTTAGAATTACTTTTCTGCTTTTTATGAATAGTGACAAATGATTTTTTTTGCATGCTTGTACTTAAATATTTCTTTTATTTTCATAAATATTAGGGAGATTAGGACATAGCCGATTTTATTGACCTTGTGACCTTGTAATCAGGGCCATCAAAACACCTTTTTTTCCCCTAAAATCTTTGAAGACAAAGCAAAGTCATTCAAAACAATTTTGAAAAAAAATCAATAGTGCAGAGGAATTTAAAAAAAAATTCTCAAAATAGATAATTTGCTTTAATTTTATTCCATTTAGGGAGTCAAGGCTGCTTGTTGTGTGTTCCCATCATTTCCTCTTTCTTACACTAGGCCAAGACAACATGGGTTTGATTTCTCTGAGGCCATAGGGTCGTGCTAACCACAAATTCTCAGCACTAGTAGAATGGCATGTGCTCTAATTAAGTAGTGTTTTTAGCTAGTTGTAAAAGAGCCTAAATTCAGCCTGCTAAGGAACTAGAGTTGTCTTCCTGAGTATGTGATAATCATTCCTTTTCATTGTAATTTATCAAATGAAGCTACCCAATCCTTGGAGTTCTATGTTCCCAAATGAGATGTTATCAGACCAAAATACTAACAAGGAAGTAAAGGTAAAGCTATGGGTGAATACACATAAAAATAATATGGAGACATTATAGAGATATAAATTTGGTGGTTTTAATGGTTTTATTGTACAAGGCAATTATTTAAGTTTTGACATCAATCCTTTTATTTTTTGAATGAACTGTTGGAGATTATAAAATATACTAAAAGCAAACTTAGGCATTGCTTTTTTTAAACATAGTTTCATGAGGTAAGTCTAAAGCTTTATAATCTAGTGTATGAGGTGGTCTTCAAAAGACCAAGGCAAATGAATATTATGAAAAAAAGTATGCATGGATTTCAAAACATTTTTGCACTGGGACCAGCAGGTGGCATAGTGGTTAAGGCTCTGGACTCCCACATGGCCAGCTTTGGTTTGAATCCCCAACCTTGTGGCTTGAAAATCACACTGGACACGTGTGCATGTGTGCACAATATTCCAGAGGAAAATAGAGAAGAAGGGATTGCGGTATTTCTGGGGGATGATTTTTCACTTTCTCTTTCACTGTCTCTTTCTGTCTCTCTCCAGCAAGTGCACATACCCTACGACAAAAACCTTAAATTTTTTTTTGTTTTGTTTAGCATCGAAATAAACTTGTACTTAAATTTCATTTTTCATAAACTTTCTTTTTTAAAAAAATTTGAAGTATATTTATTTTATTCATGACAGAGTATATGCAAGCATGTGAGAGGAGTCCCTTTCAACAGGGTGTTGTCACACCCAGTCCCCTTTCCCAGTCTTCCAGCTCATCAGGGTTTGGGGCACATGCTTCTCAGATGTGTTTCAGATATGAGACTTCTAGCACTGCAGTTCAGTCTGCTACTGCCTGCACCAGTGAGCCTGGGCCCCCACAAACTTTTTAAAGGTGCTTGAATAAAAGGGCAAGTAATATTAGATAGCAATTTTATATAGAGGTACATATGCCTTGGAGGCTAATAATTCCTCATTTACCTCCTTTTGTCTTCCCTTCCTCCTGCCTACCTACTTTCTTCTGTCTTTTCCATTTCTTTTCTCCTTGTTTCTCCTCCTCTCTTCTCTCTTGATCTAGCTTTTTTCTTTTTTTTTAAATATTTTTTATTTCTTAACTTCCTCCTTGTTTTTCTGCCTGTAGTAAAAAAATAAAAAGACAAAATAATTTTCAGTATAATTCCATTTAATACTTATTTATTGAGTACTGATTGACAAGAAGTGACATGGAAGGGGAGTCTGAATAAATCATAATGAAAGGACTTTTTTTTTTTTTTTTTAAAGATTTTGCCATAGGAGCTATGTGCTTACCAGAGAGAGATAGAGAAAGAGAAAGAGAGAAATCAGCCCCATGGGGGAGGGCCATGCCATGATCCCTTCTCTTCCAGTCTCCTCTCAGGATTTTGGGTACACATGCACATGTGCCGGCATGATGTTCAGTTCATCAGATATGGGACCCAAACTGCAGTCAGCCATGTGGGAATCTAGCACCTTAACCACTACACTACCTGCTGGCCCCAAAATAACTATGTTTTATCCTCAAGAAATTCAGGACTTAGAAAAAGAAGCCATTCTATTCACAAAACGAACAAGGAAAAGGAGCCAGGATGGTGATTGTTATGATAGAGGAGTAAACAAAGAGCATGAAAGAGTTATGAATTCTGTTCACAAAGGACAGGGTAGCACCTGGAAGTATAGATGGGTCCTCTTCTCAGCATTCAGAGAAACTTTTTCCTTCTCTAGGTAGAAAGCAGCAGATCCTCTATTTCCTTCAGCATGAATAGTGAGAGTAAATAATGGCGTTTTTTAAATTTTTCTATTTACTTATCAAGATTTAGACTATTATTTTTAATTGTTTTATTGCAAATAGATAGTGCTCCGTAGGATTCATCTGTGAAACAAAAGGAAGAGAGGAGACAGAATGAAAACTAGTATTTAGAAACTCGAATGGTATCTAGGTTCTGCCTCAAACTAGTGCCATTACAGTCCAACCGAATCCTTGGACTGTTTTTGTTTTTTTTTTAACCTAACAATTAAAATGTTCTTTTATTGATTATTATTATTATTTGCTATAGGGCACATGCATAAGCTGCCATGTCCTGGACTTGAACCACACAGTTAGCCATGTGGGATCCAGCCACTTTAATAACCACCATGCCACTTGGCTGGCCCTTGAGTTTGATTTTGTAATTGCAATAAACTGAAGGGATCAGATTAAATCGTCTACAGATCATTTTCTGTGCCAAACATTTTCGTTTGAGTATTATAACTGGTAATACCCAAACCATTTGTAATGTTGTTTCTGTTAATAAGAACAAAGTCACATGATTATGAATCAAGCATTGTGTTAAAAACTTTTGTGGATAAAAGATTTCATACACTGTTCACCATATAAATCTAACACGATGTCTTTCTTCTTGCTTGCACTAATAGTAGCCATGAGCTAGGGAGAGGAGGTTGGTGAACTCTCCAGGGACTGAATGCAAGAGAGCTCCTGCTGTGGACAGTGAGGTAAGGCCAGTGAATGCACCTCAAAGCCTCATATAATGACAGAGCTTCAATGAGTGTTTCTTGATTAAAAACTCTTAAGAGCTATTAAACATGAATTGTTAATCTGAAACGTGTAAATAGCAGTTACTTTTATGTATATCATTAGGTATTCTGCATTTTAAAGTTGAAAATATGATTTTAAAGTTATTCCTTTAGGAATTAGGAGAGTGTAAGAATTTAATCTCTCTGGAATTTACAAATGATGTATAAAATGGTTTCTTTCCTGAGTGATAAATAGTTCAAGCCCCTGCAGATGAGTTAGTAGTTTACTTGCAAATTGTTTCCCAGAGAATCTCATATTAATCTTTTAGCTTTGTTATTGACAGGTGCTAAGAGAACCCTGCCCTTATGTGGGGTAACAGGAGAAGCAATGGAGTCATTCACCTCTGAAGATCTTACCATGGGATTGACTCTACTTTCTGGAGCACAGCTACCTTCACTAGAGCTTTTAGGAAAATATTTTAACCGTCATTCACCTTTTGGACCCTCGTCATGTTAGTGAGAAAAGAAATGCCATCTTTTCGACTGAAGAACTCATGCTTAATGACACCTCAATAATGCAAAGTAGGATATTTTCATTATCTCAGCTTTTTGTAATAAATATCTTGGGTATTGTAACTGCTCATGTATATAAATCCTGGAAGAAAAGGTTGTCAGTATTACATACAGTTAAAAGACCATTCCATTACCTCTGAATCATTATCTTTTATCTAGAAATATTTTTCTCTTTTTTAAAAGAGATAAACATGTCTGTTGTCTTTTGATTACAATTTTTGTATTGAAAACACTTTTAATTTATGATTTCAATAATTCCAATGGCCTGTAGATGTGCTGTGAAAATGTGGATATTATGGGCAGGCAGGTGTGTGTGTGTGTGTGTGTGTGTGTGTGTCTGTGTCTGTGTGTGTGCATGTCCAAAATCCCAGGAGAAGAAGAGATTGTGAGCCTGGGTGACTTTACAAAGTCATCCCCCTGGGGGATGATTTATCACTTTCCATCTCTATGTCTCTCTCCTCTCTGGTTAAGCGCATGCGCCCTATGACAAAACCCTAAAAAAATGTACTGACTGATAGCTCTTTCATAACAACTGACTCTTGTGAGTGCTAACCCCTTCTCACTAGAGATAGAACTCATTGTGTCTTGTGAATTATCATTAATCTTTTCAAGAGGCTGTTGCCTACATGATGCAATCAATCACCATGAACCAATCATTGCCCATTAGGCCTTGAGACAACATGAAGGAGTTAAGTTTTCACTTAATGCCTTTATAATACTGACAATAAAATCAAGTCTCAACTCATGAATTTCTGGGGTCTGTATTCAAACCATTGCATATGCCTAGCAATAGGCCTTGACCATGAGGGCCTTCAGTAAATAGATAGTGACTAAATGAATAGTTTGCTCTGAATATCATTTGTGAAATTCACACCTATTCACTTCAAAATGAAATTTACCCAATATCAATTCTGTGGTAAACAGGAAAAAGACTAAATTAAATCGTCTGGCCATTTCTTATAGACTAAAATTATTCTTCTTAAAATATTATTTATTTGTTTATTCATGAGTGAGAAAGAGAGAAAGAGCAAATACTTCCATTAGGGGTTTGATGCCATGATCTACTCCTAGCTTTCAACCAGTCCTGGAACATAGACACATGTATGCCCAGACTACTTAGGGAGGGCTCTGGACACCAATATGGAACCTTCCCATGTTGGTCAGCCTTGCAGAAGTGTCATGTTTTATCACTGTGTCACTATCCAACCCTTACATTTCTTTCTTTATATATCTTTCTTCAGTATTTATTTGTGGAAGTAGGAAAATAAATTCACTTACCATATGCATTGATCAAAGCAGATTCAGTGTTTAAAAATTTGTCAAAATATCACCTCTTTATCTCCATGTCACAGAGATGATTAATGTTCTCTCTCTTTTTTCAATGGCATTTTGCTATGTTGTGATCTCCCTGCCTCAGCTTCCTAAGTACTGGGACTATGAGACAAGTGCGACATGGCTGGACCTGTTAGTTGTCTCTTAGTTACATGCTCTTTTGTATAGTGATTGAAGTTTCAGGCAGGGTAATAATATTTCCACAAAAATGGCATTTCCCAGCCTTGTTTGCCATCATGGAGTCATGTGATAATGTTCTGGCCAGCAGGATATGAGCGGAGGTGCTGTGTATAAACTCTGGGCCGTACCTTTAGCAGAAAAGGAAACTAGCTTTTTCTTTCTTTCACCTGGAGGCTGGAATCTAGGTATTGTGGTTTCATTTTTGATGACATCAAAGCATCAACTAGGAATGGCATAAGAGCATTACAGAAGAGCCTGTCCCAGACATTGTTGAGTCTAAACACCAACCAGGTCAGTCAAACAAAACCTTTGGAGAGACAAATAAACTTCTCTAGACAACATGTTTAGTTATCCAGGTTAGGTTTACAGCTAAATATTAACTGTCAACTTATTGCTAAGTGAGATTGCTCCTGATTGTCTCAGAATACTTGATACTCTATCAAGTATTCAATACAGTGCTATGTACTGTATTGAATTTATGTATGGAGTGGTGTGTGGAAACTCGAGTTAGTTTATTCTTTTGATAACTCATCATTCTTTTTAGATTGACCTGTCCACAATATGACAGTATGAAAAGGTTCTGGTGTTATTTATTTATTTTAATTTTATACATTTAATCACTATATATTACTTTGCTTGTAAGTTGAATTTACCTGATATGAATACGCTTCATACCAGTTCAGTTGCAGATACAAAACACATTATCATCAACAGATAATAATCCATTTTTGATTGCCATAAATTTCTTGTCTATTTTTCTCCTTAATTTCTTTCCTTACACTCTCCCTCTTTTCCCACTCTCTTCCCACATTGTCTCCAGAGTCTATAACCATTTTTAATGTTTCTATGTTCTCTAATCCCTCAGTTTCTACCATAGAGTACAGACAGTTGGTATATGTTAAATGGAAACACACAATGTCAGTCTTTCATAGCCTGGCTTGCTTCATTCAGCAGTAAATCTTACATATTTGTCCACTTTCTATTAAATGCCAGGGTCTTGTTTTTTATAACTGAGTAATATTTCTTAAAGTATATGTGCCACACTTTTTCAATCCGTTCATCTGTTCATGGACATTTGGGTTGGTTCTATGTCTTAGCAATTGTGTTCTGTCTTTAAAAAGAAGAGATTGACATAAAGTAGCAATTATTCTCAGGCAACTTTTTAAAACTGAAATTGATGCAATGTTTGACAATGCAATAATGAGGGACAGGGAAATTACATGGAAATTTATTCACTATGAATGCCCTTTAGGCAGGAGAGTTCTCTGGGTGTCCTTGGACTGACCAAGTTCTCCCGTTTTCTCCCTCGTAGGTTCAAGAACAACTATAGAATGCACTGTAGTTTTGCATCCTGAGATAAGGAGGGACTGTCTGGAACAGCCCAGGTTCTGTTCCAGTCCCCCCTAGAAACACAATGTGCTTTCGTGTTCTATCCCAGAGAATGGCACCGCTCCAGGCTATAAAACGCAAGGTAGGCTGCTTTCTGGGGCTTCTCATCTGTGATGCAAGTGGGACATATGCAGTTGAGATTTCATCCACCCTGGGCAAATTTATGAGCCTTGGGGGACCAGTAACAATGCTTCCTAAACCTCTGTTGTTACTTGCTGTCTATATGTAAGAAATAAATAACTTGTTGCCTGTGAGTGTGTCTCACTGGACTCAGATAAGTTGGTGAGTAGGTGGACATGAACCTACATTGTGCCTCCAAAATCTGATAACTAATAGAAAACTCAGAGGCCTATCAGCTAAACATGGCTACCAGAGGATTTTGTGCTTTACTTTTTAAAATCTTTACATTCATGGGCAATCGTTTCAGTCAAATCTCAGCTACAATAACACTGTGTAAAGGGCAGCCCCAGGAAACTCAGTGGCATGCAGTACATACTTATTTTCCTTGTTTTTTTTTTTTTTTTTTTTTGTGACTGCAGGTCAGCTGGGAAGAATCTGCTTGCAGGTCTGGGGTCCTTTCTGCTCCTTGTGTCTCTTGTTGGAAGGTCAGAGGTTACCAATGGCATGTTTAAAGCTTTGGTTAGATGTAGGTATAATACACAGCCAAACCTTTTCTTGATAGGCCAGGAAATTATAATGTGTGCCAAGGGTATGGGTATGTAATTTTATTACAAAGACAGAATGAAGTATTAAGAAAAATAATGAAATCTACCAAAGCAATATTTCAAATGGAATTTTCACATCAAGTTGGAAAAGTTTACTTAAAATACAGTTTCTCAAATCTCCTTAAACATTGAAAGACCCACATATGGGTCTTTTCCCATATGCTAACAGAAAGAGATATGCTCTTTCTGTTATCATGCACCTCTGCTCTGCACAAGTCATTTGTCAGCTCTCTTTGCTCATTACCATCTGGGTTCTGGAGGCAATTCAGTTTGTGACCTCTTGTATAGCAGATGGGTTGAGATGCATAAAAATACCTCAAAATCAACTAGAAGATGTTAAGATGCTATAAAAAAAGGTGCAGATAAATTGGCATGGGAGGACTGTGGAACAGAGATTATTTTTGGCTAGGGGCAAGTCATTAGGATGGAAAGAGAACAGTTTACTGCGATCTTTATTAAAGAGAGGAAATTGGAACTTAGCCTCTGATCTTGGGAAAAAGTTTGCTATGGGGCCACAAAGGCTTATCCTAAGAAGTGGACTGCAGATGCTACAGAATATGTGAAATGGAAACATGCCCCAAGGGATAGTTCAAGGACAATTATAAGCAAAACTAGGAAGACGTACTTAGAACTGCTCAGCTTATTCTCATATCATTTTTTATCTTATGTAAATGAGAATTGAAGTAAATTCTTTGAGGAAAGGGAGACTGTATGAAACTGTAAGATTAAAAAATAAAAATTGGTCAAACTTTCAGTATCAATTATCTTAAGGCACAATTTAAAAATTGAGGTGTGAGATACAAGGGGGGGGCAGAAACTTTGACATACAGAAAAATGTAAAAAAAAGAAAAGAAAAATAGAACATGTTCATCTTGAAATTAACTAACTTCTTCTATGTAGCAGGTTATTTCAAAAATTGGTTTAATTGTATATGTTCATTAGGATTAAAGTATGCATGATGACATTTGTATTCATTCTGATATTTTCAAACTAATTGTTGATTTGTCAATTTTTTTTCATTTCCATCCTTGATAATATATTGATTAAATAAAAAAGTTTTCTAAAAAATACCTCAAAAATTAAAGTGCTATTTTCATAGTTTGAAATTTTTACACACTCCCTCTATCAAAGTCATAGCTCAAAAGTATTCTTTAAATACGTTACCTTCAATTCAATGTATATATCAAAATAGTTAGAAGAGTGGATTTTGGATGTGCACAATACAAAGGAATTATAAATATTAGAAATGGTGGATATGATTATTGTCCTGATTTGATCATTATGCATTGTATACATGTTTTGAACGACTGCAATGCATTCCTCAAATTTGTGTATCTATTATATGTAAATGAAAAATAATAATAATTTTTAGAAGTTAATTTTTATTCATAATGGCATGTCTGTGCACACAAGAAAGAGAGAGAGAGAACCTCCCAGTGGGGCCTGGTCATGCTAACCTTTTCCTCCAATTTTTCTGTCCTGTCAGGATCCTGGACACATGCTTAGAAGCTGGGACCAGAATCTGAACTCCAGTCAGCCATGTGAGATCCAGATTCCTCTGTATAGCACCTAACTGCTGTACCACAGGGCTGGTCCTATAATATATGTCTATATTTTTAATAAAGCATGTTACCTTTGTGATCTAATGTGAAGCCAAATAAATCTTAATCTAGGGACTTATTATTTCATAGTTGTTTAACTTTCTGCTGTGGATGACATGTCAATATTTCCAAATCTCTTAGAGAACATCTTTAATATTAACTTGAAACATTTTCTTTTATTATACATAGAAGCAGTGTTTAACCTTTTGTAGGTTTGCAACCTGTACAATGAAAAGGAAACACAAGGGGAACCAGACAAAGGTACAAAGGGATCCATATAGGAGGGTTACTAGTTTGCACCAAAGACCTCTCTGGGCATACCAGGAGTGTGTGTGACCATGATCCAGGCTGGCTGGGGCTTGGGATGTGTTGGACCCTGTATGCTATACAGCCCACCTGTCTCTTTTACTCATAGAATAAATAGATAAATAAACTTTGAAAAGAAAAGAAGAGAAAATAAAGGAAAAGAAAAGAAAAAGATACTACAAACATATCATAACCTCCTTTGTGCTAGGTTGAAATGGAATATGGGTGTAGGTATATTACTTAGCTGTTACCACAAAATTTTTTATAACAAATAATCCCAAAATTCAGTGACTTGAGTGATGTCATTTATTTTCATTGACCTGTAGATTGATAGAGGGTGTCAGATCTAGGCAGAGTATGGCTGAATGGGTCTGTGTTTTTGGATACATTGACTCATGTATCTGCAACTTGCTAGGTTAGCCTAGTCTAACCTGGCTGGATTTGTTTCATGTGTTTCTATTTCTCACCTCAGCAAAGTGAATATTTATCATGATGCTGGTATAGGGATTTATAGGGAGCAGTGGAGATTGGGAGCACTAATGCAATCTACCACAAAGAGCTAGATCATACTATTATTCATCATGTGCACTTTTGTAAACAAGGCTGGAAAGAGCAATGGTTTTAGAATTAGACCTGAAGTTACATGACCATCCTATATATTTGCTTGGTTTGGCAGCTCTAATATGAGACTTATAATAACACCTACTTCTTTGGGGAAGTTTTTTTTTTGCCATAGGGCGTGTGTGCTCGCCAGACAGAAAGAGACAGAGAGACAGAAAGCGAGAAATCACCTCCCAGGGGGGATGGTCACGCCACAATCCCTTCTCCTCCATTCTCCTCTTGGGATCTTGGGCATGCATGCACATGTGCCCGGCGTGAGTTTTAAGCCACCGGGTCCAGGACATGAACCACAGTCAACTTCATGGGAGTCCAGTGACATAGCCATTATGCTAACTGCTGGTCCCAACAACACCTACTTCTTATAATTGCATAAAGTGCTTGGAATCTGGCAGGCACTTAATGAGAGTTCTTTCTCTCTGCAGGCATGTTTTCTTTCAAATATCTTTTCCTCTTGTTTTATGGAGCTGTGGTTTACTTATCAGACTCTTTTATAATCTCTGCCTTTAAAGAAAGACTCTCCTGATATTTTGATACTATGAATAAAATATGAAGGGTCTTCCAAAACCTCAGGGAAAATGCCTATTATGAAAAACTAATGAATGGATTTAGAAAAAATTCTCTACACCAAAATTAGCTTGTTCTGTAATTCTATTTGTTTCCACCAACTTTTTGAAGTCCTCTCATACCTACAAGGAATCTTTTACTTTTACAATGAATGTATTCTACTATACCTCTCCAGGAACAGCTCCTTTAATTATTTTGGAAACCTGCATATTGAAACTCTCCTAATAATATTTTTTCAAAGAACATGAGACTAAACTGAATTAAAATTGATTTGGGATTTCTAATGAAAGTCATATAACTGTAAAATAAACGTGAATTACAGACACACCACAAGGATCTCTGAGCCTGCTGCAGATTGAAATCTAAAATAGTAGAGATACGGCATGCTGAGAATGTGAGGTGGCGTGTTCGCAACTGGACTAACATTATAGAACTAGGTGAAAAGAGATTGATTGTCAGGCCAGAACTGTCAAGGGCCACATCAAATTCTCCATAAACAAACAAACATCAGTTTCCAGAAGGAATACTTCAAGTGCTGAAGAATATAGGCTTTGGTTATGAAAAGTTGCCAATTTGTTTAGGTGAAGCAGGACAGAAGAAGGCTGAATGAAAGTTCCACTCAAAGTGAAAAAAATAACTCTGAGGGCTCTCTAGTGGGATCATTAAGACTGTTCATTATGTTCCTCCCCCTTTCTCAGGGCACCTCAGTTTTTATTTATTTTCTAAAAGTTGAGTAGGAGTGATATAATAACTCTTATTATGTCGCAGATGAAAATAATCCCTTACATTTTGTCTAAGCTCATTAGCAACTTACAAGAATGTAATTGGAGACATTTGCCTTTAGGAACACTATGGCTGTCATCTTGTTAAAGTCAGTACAAGTATTTATTCTCTCTATTCTCATAGCTATTGTGGTTCCGAGAAAGACCTTCCTGAAAAAGCACAGAGAACAGAGGAAATAGCCTGGGTATCTAAAAGAAATAAAATTGGCTTACCCATGATGCCCAGAGTTACGTGGGGATCCTCACTGGACAGAGGCATAGAGGATCTTCCTGGGCCTCCTCTTGACTAGCTATTCCTCCTTTCAGGAGAACAGTCAACCCTTCAGTGCCAGGGATCATTTTCCATATCACAGCATTAATGGCAAGAGGTGGCTAGGTTCAGTCTCTCCATTTTTCTTTGCTCTATTCTTTCTTTCCCGCCTTGAAATCGTGATTATCAAATGCCAAGACTATGTCAAGCAGTAAAGTCTGATCAGTTTGGGTCCCATTTGTAGCTTCTGGAGTTTTTGCCTGATATTTGGGGCAAATTGGCTAATGCAGGATTGTCCCCAGAGTCTCCTCCTGAAATATTTCATTGTAGCATCCTAGCAAATGTAGCACTTGCTTTTTTGCCTGCTACATCTAAAATTTGTTCTCTCTCAATAGGGGTACAATAGGTAGCCAGAATTAACTGCACATTCCTCCAAAAGAGATCAAAAGCTAGAATCAGTATCTGGAAGAAAATCAGTAAATTTATCGGGATTCCAAGAATATTTGCCCAATAATGCTCTGCATTATTAAATATCATTATGGCGAAGGGGACTTGGATTCTGATTGGGCCCTCTTATCCAACTATTTCTCTGAGGGGGAAAGGGTCTCACTTCACGTATGTTATGGATTGAAAGTTTGATTATTCCTTCTGTACCCTTTTGGAGTAGAAATATCTGTGCTTGGTGCAAAAGGCCAGGGTAGTCTAGAGGGGAAGTATGCTCTCTTGGGAGTCCCACTGGGGCTATAATGTGGGTCCTGGGGGATTGAGCAGTTATTTCCCATGACTCTTATAAAGGAAAGAAAGAAAAAATGACAGAAGAGGAAGGCATAGCAACCTAGGGCCAGAGCTGTATGTGAAGCATCCCTCCTAGGCGGTGGATAACCACAAGGGAACAAGCTAGATGTCCTTAAACAATGTCCCTATCAGAACTGCTAGATGCTGAGGATCCTTGGCCTTTTTGGTCTATCTTGGGCTCCTCAGGGTAAAGACCTCTTGAGCATGCTAGAACTAAGATCCCACTTGAGGTGTCTCTGAGAGGCAGATGAAGCTCCAGGACAATGGCCTGAGGGTCCTCAGCTTGCCATGTCCTTTCTGGTCCCCAGGATCATTTCCTTGGCTGAATGTTGTCATCCAAACCAAAAGACTCCAGGATCCTTGGGGTTCTTCTGCGAGCTATGACCTGGTCTTTCTCTGGTTCCACCTTGGAGAAGGAAAACACAAAAGTGGATATGATTAGGTAACATACAGCTATGTCCAAATGAGGCTTTGAAGAGTCCATGGGACTTTTGATTTCTCCCCAAGAGGTAGTCATTTGATATAGGTCTCTCCCTTGAGAGTCTCATTTGGTTTTTAAATAAAAGCAATACAGGGCTGAGAGTGAGTTGTCCCCTGGAAAAGTCATTCCAGAGAAGAGCAGAGAAAATGGTGAAGAGAGAGAAGCCCTGGAGAAGAGAGCAAGAGACAGAAATTTTGCAGGAGTTTGCCTGTCATCATGTTGAAGCCTTAGTTCTCACAGCAGCATTTCAGGCATGGCCCTTCAGAGACTTGCAAAATGGTTTACAATCAATAGTAAAAGGACTGGGATAAACAGCTTTGTGGTAAGAGTTATAGAGAATAATCTGTGAGACCACAAGTTGAGCAACCAATGATTTTTTTCAACAGGGTTGCTATGGCTCTCAAGAGGGCAGCCACCTGGCTCAGGATAGCATTGAGGGTTGAGTCCTGGGAGACAAGGTGGAGTCTCCCTTGGCTTACAAAGGACCCCAACAAGCAAGAAGAAATCTATAGCCTTAAGGTGGATATATTTATAGGTGTGTTATTTCCAGGAATGACTGAGAAAACATTGGGGGAGTAAATTAGCAGCCATAGATAAAGTACATATTTCTCTGCTCTTATATAGGATTTTTCCTGATAGGCTCAGTTCTTGATTATTTTCCCCCAAAAAAATTCTTTGAAAAAGCCTGCAGAAAAAAAAAATCCCTTTTCTTTATATTTCCAAGGTACTTGGCTTAGCTTAAGGAATAAGAAGATTTTTTTTTTTTCCTAGAGAGTATTAAAAAAATCCCTTTTCTTTATATTTCCAAGGTACTTGGCTTAGCTTAAGGAATAAGAAGATTTTTTTTTTCCCCTAGAGAGTATTCCTTTCTTTTTTTTTTTTTTGGAGAGATTTTCACTGTAGGGCGCGTGCGCTCGCCAGACAGACAGAGAGAGACATAGAGACAGAAAGCGAGAAATCACCCCCCACGGGGGATGGTCACGCCGCAATCCCTTCTCCTCCATTCTCCTCTTGGGATCTTGGGCACGCACACACACGCACCCGGCGTGAGTTTTAAGCCACCGGGTCTGGGACACGAACCGCGGTCGACTACGTGGGAGTCCAGCGACATAGCTAACTGCTGGTTCCCGAGAGTATTCCTTTCATATTGGAGTAGGCTGGCTGGAGAGGGAGATAGAGAGCAATAGTGAGACAGAAGGGATGTTCCAAAATGAG